CTTTAACTCTTGCAATAAGAAATTATCTTTCTAGTGCAGCATTTGACACAAACTTTTAACACTCCTAAGAACTAATTTATCTGCACATCTCAGACACCCTGTTTACTTGCCTAACATAATAGAACAGAAAAGAAAAGAAAAACAGGCAGTATATCAGGAACAGGCTTGTTAACCTCCAAAAGTCTGGTCCATTCTTGGATTCAATTTCCAGAAGCCTGAAGGTACCACATTTTCTGTTCATTCATATGCAAATATAAACAGCCACTATACTTTTTAGGAAGAAAAGGGATTGGCCATCCATGTTTTGGTTTAAACCAAGCATATTCACAGCGGAACAAGATCAAAAAACATTGTGACGATACTGATGGAAGCTGGTGAGAGAATCATTATTTCCCAACACACTTTTAAAGGCTCCTCAGTGAAGAAGTCATTTCTCCAAAAGCAATATTAAAAACTTTATTTTTCATATCTGCTAAATCCCTGTTTCACTTTTGACACATGCCATGTGTACATATGAAGCTACTGTCTTGATATTGGACAAAATTAAACTGTAAATGTTTGACCATGATGTGCATAACTGATGTAAAAATAATGATATTGAAGGAACAGCAGAACACATTTTCCAAAAAAAATAAATAAATAAAATAAAATAAAGCTTGGAAACAATTATAATTTCTTAATATACCTAACTGTCTACAAGGATACTGCCAATTAGTGACATGTTGCTCAAAGGACCATAACAATCAGTGTTGTTTAAGGGATCATCGCAAAGCCATAGACATTTTAGTAGAGCCAAAATATGTTTGTGTTTTGTTAGAAAAGAGGCCTAAACATCTTTTTTTTCCATATATTAAACATCCATCCATCTTCTATTGCTCCTCTGTCACAGAAGTTCATTGCCTATCTCCTGTAGTCTATGGGAAAAGGTAGGGTACACGCTGAAGTGAACTAAAACAGGAAAAAATCTAAATTGATGTGAGATGTAAAAAAAGAAAATAAAATGTACAGTATGTCTTTTCTATATATTCTAACAGGACTTCAACTGTAGATGTTTTTTTTTTTATTATTATTATTCCTACGTATTAAATTTCTAAATATAATTTCAAATAATCACAGGAATTTTCTGCAGTTCTTTTCTTTGCATCAGTTTCCTGCACATTTTTTGTCAATTTGTTCATACTATCTCTGCTTGTTGTTCATCGTTATTGTGATTTTGCTCAGATTTAATAGAGGTGAAGACATTTCTACACAAGCAGAGAAATAGAAAGGAATTTTTCTTCCATGCACACCACAATCAGGACATTGTACTGCAGCGTATTATCAACAAATGGTGTGTACAACATAGATTGCAGCCAGCTTGATTTTAGTGGGTTCAATTTTTAATGATTTATGCTTCTCTAATTTGTCTGTCAGTTATGAGAGTTTGTGTAGATCTATGTGTGTGTGTGCAAATAATAGCTTAGAAGCTTGCAGGAACAGTCTAAAGTGGCAACTAAACACCAAAGAGAAATTGTCTTGTACGGACATGCAAAAGCAATAAATGAAGAATGTGGAGTTTTCACTCTGAAAGGGTTCAAGAATAAGCATGTGTATGTTTTATAATGTAGTTCTCCAATAAAATCAAAGCAACATAAGTTTTTTTTATATCAAGTCTGTTTTTTTTTCTTCAAAAGCATGATTTGTTTTCAGGATGCAGATATTAGTTGACTTCAATCCAAATATATGTTAGTAAATTAAACTGTGGTTGAATATCCCCCAATATATTGAACTTATCCTGCATAGTTTAACATCAGTATCTTAATCTCTGATGTGTTATTATTTATAAAACATATTTTAATTAATAATATAGTAAATGCTGAATGTGATTTGAGTAGATCTAACATCCGAAATATACTGCATTGCTGACATGATTTGACATGTTTTGGTATTACTTTCTACATATATTACAACAATGATCATTTTAAAAACAAAAACCTCCACAAATTTCAGTAAATGTTAACAAATATGTTTTATAGCTAAACAAATCTTAAAATATAGTTTCTCAGAAATGTTGCTCTGTTTTTTTCAGTAACTATGTTCCTCTTTTGCTTGGATTTCTGCATCAATGCAGCCTGGAACAGGATCATACTAAGGTTTAGCTGGAATGAAAAGGAAGTCCCGATTGCGAAAAATTCCCTTTCATTTGAGGTTCTTTTGTCTACATGATTAACAGTCTAGTCCTTTTTCCCCTTTAGCACAGCTTAAAGCCTTTTAAAATAATCATTAGATAATATAATTTAAGGAGTGTACCAGTTTAACCCATGTTAATGTAATGGGAAATGTGCTTTTTTTCTTTTACATTGATTCCATGTATTGGTTTCCTTAAGAACCTTACAATGGCTGTATAAATATTCAACATATTCTCATTATCAGTTCGTATGAAATCGTACGAAAAGTTATGCACAGTATTTAGTATGTTTTTGACGTTTTTCCTCGAAAAAACACATCAGTGCGCAGGCAGACACACGAAAAAAGCAGATCCGCGGACGGACATAAAACTGGGAAAAACAGTGCAATAATTACTTCTTCATGTCTCTCACTACGTTGCTTGCTGTTTTGTATCTTAGGGTTAATTGTATGTTAAATTCTATGTTATTGAATGGTGTGTAAGATGCGAATGCGCAAGGATATCTTGTCTCAGGGCAAGACGTAAAAATACGACGAAATACGACGAAAAAAAGTCAAAAACGTACGAAATTACGGTGAATAACTTTTCGTACTATTTCATACGAGAATACACTGAAATATTTTTAATCAGTTTTTGGGTCAGTTTTGTTTTATTGCTTTTTTTCCTAAATAAAAAAATTTCAGATGTCACCTTAGGAAAAAATTAAACATCAAACTATCAAATCTGCAATGATGTATTTTGCTGTCAACACAACTGTAGCAATGAAAACTTTGCTCTTTTATTTACTAAAAGATTGTGTGGTGCTTTAGAAATAGTGTGGTAATTTAATAATTTCTTAGAAGTATTTTTCATTGCATTTAGTACAAAAAAAAGACATCTCTACCCATTAGTGCTTTGTTTTACGATACTATAACATAAATAGACCATTTATTTTCAGTGTTCAGAACAGACAGTTCCAGTGTTACTGGAAAACTAACATCCTCCACCATATTCCAGTTGGCAGCAAAGGGTTTAACAGGGTTCTCCACTCAAACTTTGGTGCAACCCATGGCACCACATTTACAAAATGTTCTTCATTTCTCGGCCTCTAACACCGGCCCCAGACAATCTAGAGGGTGTGAGTCAAGATTCAATTAATTTAGCGGAAACACAACAACATCTAGAAACTTTGTTTTTATGAGGTCCTTAAACTTTAAAAGATCTTTTCCAGTCAATTCAAATCAGCTGTGGCAAGCTGTGGTTTTCTTTAATGTTCATGCTTTTCTGAGTTCCTCTCCTTGCAATGCTTTCAAATATGGACGCACATATTTCCCAGGCTGCAAAGCACAGTTTCCTGTCAGAGCCTTTGTCCTTATGGGTAGTCCCAACATCAGTACATGAGCACAATCTCTATCTGACCGTAAAGTTCTGGGATATTACCTACTGATATTTAGCAATTACTTATTTAAAAGCAATTAGATAGATTCTGCTGTGCAAAACGATGCCAAGGAGAGCTGATAGAGGAAATTCCATTTGTTTAGTCGTACAGTCTCTCACGGCTTACAGAAGTGCGGTCACATCGCTCGGTTGGATCTTTAATCAACAAGTCCTTGGTATTTCACCTGCAGATGAAGACATTCCTCGCAGCCTTATTTGCAGGTAAAAACTTCCGTCCTCTCACTGCACGTGTTGCATTTCACGAAGCAGCACCATTGAAACTTACAGTTGCACTGCCACACTTTGGTGTACTGGTGCGTGTTGTAGCCACGACCGCAGCACATGAGGTCACAGCCATCTGTGTGTGGCGATGTGCGGTTGCATAAGCGTCCCTGGGTGCCCACGCTCCCCGTGGCTGCGTCCTCCTCGCAGTAGTTTGGTGACCTCTCAATGTAAACAAGGTCTGTCTCCATAGGCTTGCGATAGCCCTGAGTCTGCTTTACTTTGAGGTGGGTGGGCTGGCGAAGCCGGCTAGCCCGAACAACCTCCACATGCACAGCTTCATTGTACTTTTCCTTGAGTACGTAGCCAATCTCTCTGAATTTTGGGAGCGTCGTCCAGCATGTTTTGGTGGTGCAGGACCCAGAGACGCCATGACACTTGCACTCCAGCTTCATCCTTTCTTCCAGGACCTGCAGATGAGAGGAAAGATCAAGCAGCTATAACTAGAGCAGAGAAACATGCCCTCAAGCTTCCACTTGTTTTGAGATTCTTTTATTAGATTCTATCTGGAACTAAATACAGACAAATAAAGCACAAGAAGCAACCTAGATCATTTATGAGCAAAACCAACGGAGGAATAAATGAAACTAATCATCAAACCAACAGACTAATTAGAGAGGCTAATAGACAGCTAACTATTTAACATAGACATTCAATCAACAAACAATTAAATCAATAAATCAACAAGTTAACTATACAAATAATTAATAAACTAACAAATAAAGAATTTATAAAATCAGTAAAAAAAAAATGTATCAATGCATCAATGACCCAACCGATGGATCCCCGCTTGTTGTTTAGTGACTATCATTCTTAAGTAGCTAAAGACTTAGCAATTAAGTTAAAACAAGCTGTTTACAGTTACCAACATAACATGTATGACAACTATATTTCTAATATTGTTCTCAAGGGGAAAAATCTTGGCCTTAAATTACAGGAATGTTTACAGTGGAAACTGAAACTGAAATATAACGTTTCTCTACAAATCCCAAAGTGAAGGGCTTAATGCAAAAAACTGAACAATAAAATGCATTTGATGTCCATGCCGATGTTCCCAGCAAGTGCTGATAGCACTGATCACTTGCAGCCACAGGCACTTCATCAGATGCTGTCAGTCTGGGTGACTGCTGATCTAGGGGAACAACCCCAAACATTTCCTAATGCTCCTCTCTGCATGTATCAGCCTGTCCTGAAAGAAGATAAAATGTACATACTAGTAATGTCCTATCCTGTAATTTTCTCTATCTTCTCTAAACCACATCAAAGAGGAAAATGAGCCATCAGTCAACATGTAAAAAGTTAATCAAGATGATTGTTTCAGGAAAGGTGTTGCAAATGCAAATCAAAACAAAATCAGTTCAACTAGGTTTAAACTGGAAGAGAAGCTTTATGTGATGCCTTGAATCATAAAATAAATTAGTAAACTATGCTATGTAACCCATTACCAAAGACGGGATGCTTTTTTTTTTGGTTTCTTGTTAAAATCTAACAACCATACTGTATATTGCACCTCTTTTAACATCTTTTACCATCTACCCGTTTACCAAATATGTGGAAAAGTCCACTTGCTTCTGAGGATGTGGCAACTGTTGCAGTCTGTCACTTCAAACTTAAAGACACTCACAAAATATACTGCGCTTTCATTATCCAGACAACTTTTAAACAAATGGATCCTATTAACACTTCTATAATAGTCTGACATGAGGCCTTTAACCTAATTAAGAACCTCAACTTGTCTGGACCAAGAATTTGATTTCTTGTATAATGTGTTGGTTGGTTGTGCAGCTTTTTCCTGGAACTCAGCCTTTCCAGAGGCACAAGTCATCCCTTCTATCCAACACTTATGAACATACACAAGTGACGTTCAGCATCTTTGTCAGTCTTGTCTGTGCACCAATGTGGTCACAGTTTCCCAGTTTAAAGACGTTTGATTGAAAAAACATGAGTTCCTTAGGCTACATAAAAGCCAGGGTCAGCTGTCAGATTTGCCGCGGATGTTGATTCAGAGTGAGGATTTCCAAAAATGCGCCGCGCAAAACCCACAAGGAATGCTTGGCATAGGGAGCCTGACAGATGCATGGAAACATTTACTTAAACTACGCTGATCAAAGCCTCCGATCTGTTACTGATTAGTTCAGCATGACCAGAGTCCCATCTCAAGATCGCTTGTCAAACACCCCCACCAACCCACCCAATGCTGCAAAATTTAAGGCTGTGTGGTGTTTAACTGGGTGTTCTTTTACATTTAGTTTGGTCACTAAATATAATCTTGTAATTATAGTCTTCTATTCTAATGACGGCCCATATTAGTGTTTGGAAAAAGAAAAAAAAACTCATCCAGTCTTCACCACAGTTTCTTCCCTCATCAGAAATAGGATTTTATTTTTATTTTTTTTGTTATGGGCAATAAATGCATTAGTCAAGAAAGACAAATTTTCTGGCTTTTGATGCCTCAAGTGAGGCAGAAATTGCCTTTTATATCATTAATGGAATATGCTTTTTAAGTGCAATTCACTTTAAGCTGGTGTGGCACAAAAACATATCATTAGGAAACCATCTATACAATCCAAAATAACCAATTTTAATAAAACTGTCAGTAACTCAATGAATTAAGTTGATTGTGCTTAGAAAGACAACTTCATCAGTCTGTCGGTTTGAATAGACTTCTTTTTGTTTAGTGCATTGGGAAGGCATGTGTTATGAATTGATGCTATACAAATAAACTGTAAAGTGAAAATATTTGCATATTCATTAGTCAGAAATGTGAAATTGTCAAAGACATTTACATGTCATAGGTTATGGGAATGTGAGAGAATATGTTAATCTACAGTTAGGCCTTGACCAGTTTACTGTATCAACCACAGTCTTTTTTTTTTAAGTCATTAAACCACCCAGATTTTCCATCACAATGCCCTTTGCAGTGGGATTCAAGGACATTTGCAATTTTTATTCCCAGCATAATGTAGATATTAACTATCACCATTGCTGTAACTGATAGTTTCAGAGTAAAACCTGAATGAGTTAGCATGGTGTCAGGCTCCAATAAGAAACATCTTCCATTTACTAACAACAAAAGTTTAAAAAATGCCCAGAAATGTTGGAAATATTGTTTCCAGGCTCGGTTTCCGAGGCCCAGTGTGAACCTAGAAACAGCGCCAACGCGGACTGCCCATCGAGCCAGCTCTGACCCTGATCAGTCTGCTCTGCTAACACCACCATTGTCAGCTTGCTTTCACACCCTGAATAGATGCAGTCAAATGGGAGTGACATGTTTTGGTATTGTGCAGACAACTGCAATAATATCCACTTCCTGACTTTTCACACTACATAATTCAATGAACAGAACTGGAAAGCTGGAAAGGCAGCCCTCTATCTGTCAAATACAGAGCAGTTTATATATAAATTTCCCTAAAATTGAATAAAAACAAAGTTATTCATCATTATTTCACTTTGGATTTTTTTTTTTCTTTTTACCTTAATGGCTCTTCTTAGAAAATCATATATTAACTGACCAAATAATAATTATCCTCAAAAGTAGAATGACAAGCTAAAATTTTCCCCATTCATCAAAAAGTGTTCATACCCTTTAAGTATTTTTGCATTTTTAAGCTATATTAGGATATGAATAAGAATAATAATTATTAGCATACATTACAAATAAAGATGACCTCAGGTTTGTTAAGACTGAAGGAAAGAGGTAAGAATTGAAAGACACTCATAATTTATAGAGACTCTACAGTTACTCGGACAAAGTTCAAAATATTTTGGAGGAATTTAATGTAAGATAAGCCCACGCAAAGCAATGCGTAATTATGTAAAGCCCCATTTTAGGGATGCACGATATTGAGATTTTGGCCGATATCCGATATTTTAAAACTCATGTAGCCGATAACCGATATCGATACCGATGTTAAAGCTGGACAAAAATAAGTAGTCATTGAAAATAGCAGTTTTGTTATCCATTTCTGACACTTTGAAAAATAATATACTCAAATATATTTTCATATGCTGATATCAAATAGATTTTTAAAAACGCGGTATCGATCTATTTTACTTTCAAAATCTCGTGAAATTTCATCGTTCTGTTACAAACTCTCGTGATATTTTGCAAATTCTTGTGAGATTTTGTTAGTAAAATAGATCGATACCGCGTCAATATATCAACATATAAAAATATGGCAAAATTTCGTGAATTTTCAGGGGGTTTCGTAGCATAATGATGACATATAGCAATATTTCATTAGTAAAAGAGATTGATATGGTGTTTTTAAATGGCAATATATCAGCATATGAAGATATTGTGATATTTTAATGTATCAATATTTTTTCCCTCGTCTTTAGAAGTTTTTATGTCTGTAAAAAAGAAGTTTTTGAGGAAGAAGAAGAAGTATTAATTTTTTTTTTAGACTTTAGAAACTCAGAAGCTGATCAAATATCGGGTTAAATATCGGTGGGGTGGCCGATGTCCGATATTCAGTTTTAAGGCCGATACCGGCCGATACCGATAGGGGGCCGATTATATCGTGCATCCCTACCCCGTTTATTTGTATTTTGCTCATAGTAACTGGAGGAGATGCAAAGGTGGGGTAATTTTTTGCGAGGATAACTATTGATGATGCCCTCAACAAGCTGGGCCTTCGTGAAAGAGAACAATAAAATGTTCCTTCCTGTTTTTGAGGAAGGAAACTACAACTTGAAGTCCTTTTCATGAAGTGTGTTTAATATGGTTTCTTTAGCAGGAACTATACGGCACGTTAGAGTCGATAAGGTAAAAATAAAACTTATAGAGGCTGCAAAAAACGTATAATGTTTTAGTTTATATTCATACGGGAATGGCCCAGTCAACCTCCAAAGTCCAGTATTCAGAGTCCTTAGCAGTGATCCATGCACACAAAAGCTAAACAAAGAGGATTTAGGAGAAATTTCAACCTCCTCTGCTAACTATATTTTATTTCATTGGATGATTTCTTTTCTTTTATTGGATGATTTTTTTTTTTCTTTTAAAACTTCCTATCTAATTTTGTTCAAAATTCTGTTGTTTTATTTCTGAGTGTGCTGGTAAATCCAAAAACAATACATAAAAATTTTTTTAATGTTACACGACAACTACTGCAGATATCTCTGCACTAGTTGTACTCACTCATGCACTCCCTCATGATACAATCTGACCGAATTCACTTTCGAAATGTAAGCCTATCTCCTCCACAAACTATTTACCTTTCTGCCCGCCTCGTTGTTATGCAAATTCATCAGGCGACGGGGCGTCTTTTTAATCTCACGGGCATCCACAAAGCGCCGCGAGAACTCGATGCCATACTTGATGTCAGCCGAGCAGCCTCCCCACTTCCAGCCCTCCTCCTGATTGTAGTAGCCCTGCTTCTCCCGGTCACAGCCGCACTGGCTCAGGTTGCCCTGGCTGCAGGCGGCTGTGATTGCATGGGCCACCCCTGCTGCTGTGATGGCATAGGTGAAAGCTGCTTCCCGACTGCCTAAAGGAAAGAGAGTGGATTGATTAGGAATAATTTTAAAAGGAACATTTGAAATATGGTGAGTACAAAGTCCTGATAAATCCCTTTAGACACAAAATCTATTATTTTAAGTATTTAGGATATTATAAATAGAATTCTAAATCTACAACATCATTTTAATAAATCCACATTTTTCCGTTTCTGCCCTGAGCAACTTACTGCACCTTGGTACAAATGTGGTTATATGCCTGACCACAGAGTCCTTGAGCCCAGCCTGCAAGAGTGCTGCGTCAGAATTCCAGACTGGGGAGAGCTTTTTTAGGTGCTGTCCAAAGTGCTGAATTCTTCTGTAGGAGCAGCTGCCCACACTGTTCACAGCTGGGGTCTCCATGTCCCACGTATCAATCACGCACACCTCCATTACCAGAAAGAAATCACAGTGCCATGTCCAAGGGGAATGTGACAAGGTGTTCATAGAACTATAATAGCAGCTAAACCAACATGGGTGGCATTAATGCTCTTTTTAGGGTAGTGTGACAGTCAGACTAATAGTTTGGAGCTTTGGCCTTCAAACAATCTTTTTTTTAAATGTTCCTAGTCTTTACATTAGAAATTATTCTGCAGAAGTAACACATTTGATTAAAATATGTTGCAGGTCTGGATAAATATGGAAGCAATTAAACATTGTATGACAATATTTTTTAAAGCACTTTCCAAGCTTAGTATTTTCTTAGTTTCAAAGCTATATCCATCCATCCATCCATCCATCCATCCATCCATCCATCCATCCATCCATAGATCCATACATCCATCCATCCTGACCTATGCTCTACCTAAGTTCTATTTTCTATACAGATCACACTGATCTTTTCCACATTCTTTTTTTTTTCATACATATCAAGCAAACCAATCCATTTTAAGAAGCAGTTTTAAACAACCCTTAACCAAGCTTTTTAAAAGTTTAATTCTGGCATGAAAGCCAAAAATGTTTCTCAGTTAGACTGTATATTAAATCAATTATTAATTTAAATGAATTATCATTCTCATTGTGTTGTTATATCACTTAACATATCTCTGGGATCTTCAATGAAGAATTGAGCATCAAATAAGCTAAATCCTAAAGCTGAGATATCAGTTTTGTCTGTAGCAAGCTCAAACATATCATTTTTTTTATCAGTTAAAGTTTAAAAATGTATCAGTTACACCAGTTGGACTGGCATGGGATAGTAGTAACTCAATATATCCTGTCATGCTAAGTTTCAAACAGATACGCAGCAAGCAGAAGAAATTGGACTTCAGTGACCTTTGAATATCATAAGAGAATTAACCAAAAAGAGGAAATATCCAGATGTGTGAATAAATTACAGCTTACTAATGTCTGAAAAATGAGGAGATGGACAGACCTGTTCAGGATTATGGAAGGGTAGAAGTAGCTCAATCAGCCACTCATTGCAACCAATTCATTAGGAAAACTATTTTGAGTGCAAACCTGGAAGCAGATGAGCTGCAGAGGGAAAATAACGCCCCTTCTGTCAGCTGAGCTAAAGTAGTTGAGGCTTCAGTTTGCAGATTAGATGCCCCCTAACTCTAGAAATACTTAATGGGAAAGAAAAAAAATGATCACAGCCTGATCAAAGTTGTCAGTATCATATTTTTTTTAGAAATTATTTTGCCTTTTATACTATATTTTATGAGACCTGAATAAAAAACTAATTCATTTTTATGTACTGCTAATTATAGTTTATGATACCATTTGCAGCTGTTTTATGGGTGATTTCCCCCACAGATGGGGTTTTTACACCTCTAATTCAAGTCTCAGGGGTGTTTTCTGAACTCTCCAACATTTTCACCCAAAGCTGCTGTTAATTTCCTGTCCTGGGGTTGGCACTGTGCAGTTAATACCGTGGCCACAGGTTTGCCCAGAGGGGACTGACTCACAACCACTTTCTTTTTTGGTTAGCAAGAGAGCTGTGCCCCACCAGCTTGTGGTAACATTCTAATGCCCCTACCTCTCTGTCCCACACACATATGTAATGTACATGTTTGCACCGCAAAGTGGCTGGCTCTGTCATAAAAATACACTACACACTCACACTGTCCTCCACCCTGACACACACTGACTGCTAAACGGCATTGTGCACATAGATGGACAAACAGAGCAACACCGTAATGTTTAAAACAGGACAAAAGGTAGTTTCCAGAGAAAGGGTGTTTCCCCAAGCATTACAGAACATTTCTAAGCCCGTTGACCTCTGCTGTTTAGGGGGAAACGCATGATGATGCGCTTGTACAGGTCCCTACTCCCTTGTGGTTCTGGAGTCAAAAAAACATCCTGGTCAAAAAAGTAATTTAGTGGAATATGGCTTTAGGTAATGGGTTAATTTGGGAAATTCATCAACGCGGACATTAGAAATGATATTAATCCAACCGAGTCATTTGAATAAATTCTTCTGCATTTGCAAAAATAGTTTCATTTGTCTGTTTGTAACAATAAAACCTATTGACCCACTGGCCGGAACTTCATTAAATGCAGCCATTAAAGCGATGAAAATCCCTTAAGAGTCTAGCCCCAAAAGTCCTGACAGTCCTCCAGGAGGAACCACCCTGGGATAGCCTCACTAGCTGCCAGTGGAAAATTGGACTGACTGAGAAACCTCAGTAAATCTGGAAACATCCAGGAGAGAAGAATGGGGGCTATAATAAACCAGATGTCTAATGGAGTTTAGTGGCAAGTGTCTGCTCTGGTAGCCAAGAAAGGAGGCAAGCAGATCAGCAATACTTTCCTCAAAATGGGTACGGGAGGCTATAAACAACCAGATCTCCTGTTATATTCCTCCATGTCAGTAGCAAAGAAACACAGTTGGTATATATATATATATATATATATATATATATATATATATATATATA